AAGAATTAATCTTCTTTGGCAAATGTATTTTATCTTTGTGAGTTCTTGTCATAGGAAGTTGAGCAAAGGAACAACTTGTAACCCAAGAGCTTGTTGACTTGGGACAGTAAACCAAGCTCGAGTTGAAAGAGCAGCAAACAATTTTGATGAAAAAACCAGAATCCAACCAGATTGAACAATCTGAAATTTGAGCTGACGGGGCCAAAAGGGCAAATTATCAAGTATTTACCTGTATTTACTTGCTCCCAAATTGCCAAGGTCTTGCCTCCACGCACTATACTCACAATCATGTTCCCACCAAGGCACCTATTTAATGCTGGCAGTACCTGTGAAGTCCAGTGTACACTGTTAAGTACTGTGCTCACTGTACTGTGCTTGGCACATTGAGCTGGCTGGTACTATTGTAGATACATGGGCTGCAGAGTGGAACACTGCTGATTTCTTTGGGCTGTAAGAAAGGCAGAGAATCTTTATAAGGTTTTTTTTGGTGATTTTTTTGCAAAAGGTGTGTGACTCCTGCACCCCCGTGGTGCCCCCTTTCACCAGAAAGCCATCCATTGCGCCCTTTGGAATGAACACAACATGACTGTGTGGTGTAAGTGAGGACCCTGGAGAGCTCCTACTGAGGCACAATGTAATTCTTACACTGCATATTGACATTTCACTGGAGTTTACATTCATAAAGACTTGATACAGTGACTTCATACCAAGGAGAAAGGGGCTTGGACCTGGTCAAGAGAAATTCTTAGACTTGCAAGTGTGAAGACTTTTGAAAGGCAATTACAGGGTGTAAATTTCACAACAAGCATAACAAAATCAAAACTTTTACATCATTTTTTTCAAAGTGCATTGGGCATTTATTTCATAAAACACAAGCTAAACAAGTCACAAGGTATGGACTAGTTCACCTTGGAGAATTCAGCCGTCAAGTCATAGCAAAGGATGTTGTTGTCACTTGATGTTGAGATATGTTCATTTTTTTTGAATGAAAGCATGTATCCACTGTATTAAGATTTTTTAACAATCTTTTTAATTACACCTTTGTGCAAGCATTTCCCAATTGGAAATACAGTGGGCTTGAGTTAAAAGACAACAGAAGTTGAGCTTTTATTAAAACTGTCTTGTCAGTTATCACTCAACAAACTTCGTAACAAGACTAGACAGTACACTGGTTCTGAAATTTTCCAATAAAACCCAGTTACGCAAGTACTTATCAGCAATTTATGAGAATCATAGGATGATGAAACACTGCCTTGTCAGTTGTTGCCCAACAAACTCCGTACCAAGGTTTGACAGTCCACTTTTTCTGATGTATTTCAATCAAACCCAGTTACGTGAGTACTTACAAGCAATATTGATTGGATAATGGAGGAACTGTCTCAACAGTTATTACCCATCAAACTCTGTAACAAGATTAAACAGTACACTGTTTCCAATGTTTTTCAATCAAGCCCAGTTACGTGAGCATTTATCAGCATTTTTTTGAATCCATCTTTTTCATTGTGTGTCAACTTGTCCTTTGCTCCATGTCCGGTCTCCTTGGTCTTTGTTCTGTAAAAATGAATGAAAATTTACAAAATACTTAGTTCTTAGAATAAAATCTGCCAAACAAGGAAAAACTTTGGGCGTATCCAGCAACTTAAGTGAGCTATTCCAGTTCACTTTGACCTGTTCTTCTTTTAGTCTTGATCTCATAGCTTTGCAAGCTTTTGAGTATTTCCTGCAATATAATAAGTAGTGGTGAGTGTTCTCTATTCACCCGCCGGTGTCACATAAAGGAGAATAGGTGAGAGTTCTTTGAAAAAGATGTTCATTCAGTGGGCTATGTCCCGCTTGTAATTGAAAGTTAGCTGCTGTGGAAACATTTACATCGTGTGCCTTGATAGGAGCTCTCTGGGGTCCTTGTAAGTGCCAGAAAGGCTGGCAGTCTCGGGTATTCCCCCACTATATAGCGGGCCAATCCCAGCGCCAGCCCATTGCGGTGCGGTCATACCGCTATGGGTTTTTGGTACAGTCGACTCCCTCAAAACCCATACCTCTTTATGGAAACCCAAAACTATGGGTTTTATGGGTGTATGGTTTTGGAGGATCTCCCTCATAAACCATAGATTAAGGTTTAGCAGGTAAACTATGGGTTGAGAGGGAGATTTTTTTTCAAAGAGTTGTTCAAAGAATTCATTTCTATATTGTTGTGTTATACCTGTGTTGTCTGTTGCTTTTCTCAGCAGCCGTTTCTTAGAACCTATGATATTCAACAACTCATGTTTTCAGCAAGTTGCCTTCTGCTTTTATCTTCCTCAACACCATAACTTTGTCTATCAAGTTGCCCGCCGAGTCCATGAACCTTTCATCCGCCTCTGATAATTCCTTCCCTTTGCTGAGCAGTTGGCATAGTGGCTTAAGCCTTTTGTTGTTCTCTGTTTCAAGAGCATAGAAACCTGTTTCAATATCTGATACACTGAAGTTTGGGAGGTCTTTTGGAAGCATTTTGAGACACTTTCTGCTGAGAAATGATGGACAAGGAGGTGGTCTTTACAAAAAAATATCAAATCTTGCACTTTCTGGTTATGGCTTTTGAACCTGGTCTCCCTGAAAAACCTACAGTCAATCTAGATTAGCTTGTCCGAGCAGATTTTATTTATTTATTTTTTACAGCAATACAGGTAAATCTATAAGCATAAACATATGATTCATATGCTTATGTTTGTCTGGTCATGAGTCAGACCAACCACTGCTGACCACAGTCAACAGCGCTTCACTATTATGAACCTTCAGCACCGTACTTTCATCCTACACGCATCGATCCCATATTCCATTTCAGCCAAGGACCTCTAGTGTGAGCTTGACCTTGTCTTCTAGGCTTTGAATTCAATCTCTTTACTTCAATTCAGACCTCTAAGCTTCGATTTGGCCCTCTGCGTCTTCGATTCAACCCTCTATGTCTATGTGAGTCTATCGGTTTTGAAATCTTGGCTTTGATGCAAGTGAAGGGCTGTCTTTAGCCCGTGTTCTCACTTTTGAATCCCTTCTTTAGGCTCCAGATCCAACTCGTAAATTCAACTGTTAAGCTCTGGCCATTTGTTGACTAACTCAATCGTTCCCTTCTTATTTATCTTCCTTAGCTTTGAATCTGTCACATCAGATCAAATCCATTGTCTCAATGTTCATTCTGCTTGTATCTCATCTAGCCTCAGCTTGCCATTGGGATACAGTCTCTTCATGTGGTGCTTCAATCGCTTTCCCAATCCATTGATACCATGCCAGAAAGTGAGGAGATCGTGTGCAATGATCATGGTCACAGATAGGCAGAGTGCCAACAGTTCTTAGATCAAGTCATAGATCGTGTACTCCACACTGGAGTATGCAAGGAAGCCAGCAACCACCAAGTATGATCTCAGGTCCTACTGAAAAGGAAATAAGACAGTTCTTCATGACCGCAAAGTAAGAAAGTACAGTGCAAGTCTTTAAGCATTTGCAAGAGGTTTGTGCATTCTGAGACTGTGGGCCTAATGAACTCATAGGCGACAGAAAAAGCCCAGAAATTATATCAACTAGACCTGAGGATGATGACAGTAAACAGTCCATGTTATTGAATTGATTGAGCATTGGGATGACAGGTACAAAATTCCTATATACAGATAAGACACTGATTTTTTCTCGAGAAGCACAGCGAAATCGGATAGCAAGAAAAAACAATATAATGAGATCCACAGACTGGGTAAGTAGCCTCTTACTGATGATTTGCAATAAAACAAGATCGATCCTCGCCGCTGGATTGGATCTATTAGATTGCTGGATCCCCAAATTACTCTAGAGTGTCTAAACCAAAGACCAGGGCTTGAGTTGACAGGCAGAAGGGATTCCAAAGAAATGTAACATTTCAATTAGCGGGGGTTTAGTCGGTGAAAAGGACTTAAGTCAAAGAAAATACACACCCTGAATTGGTAATAAGATAGGGAATTGAGTCGATGAGCTTGGAGATATCTGATGAATGGACCAGGACATTGGACCGATTGGACAGACAAGGAAGATATTCAAAGATCAGATGATTGATCGCAATATGAGAACAATATTCAAAGAGCTTACTTGAGTCAAAGCCGAGTTGTTACAGCCGAGATCGAAAGGGTGGTTGGATCGCGGGATGAAAGCCTAGATGATATGCACAATTTTCAAAGGATAGTTAGTGACGAGGTAAAGAGGATTCAAGTGATTTAAGGATGGGTTTGGACGGAATGGATTGATGCTGATAGATGCTGATCAGTCAGAAGCTTGAATCGTCAAAACAGGCCCATTCAACTGAATGTGGTGTCGCAGTTGAAGGCTATGTATGCTTATAAAATGGCCTGTATTGGCCTGTATACGTCTGAAAATAAAAATAAAAATTCTCGATTGGCCAAGCTAATCTAGATTGACTGTATGGGTTATGGAAATAGTGTGAGGTATGGGTTTTAGGCCACTTTTAAGTTTTCCCCGCCCATGAATTTTATGGACTCAATTTTCTATGGATTTAGGGTGTTCAAACCTGTGCAAGAAATGTGCAAGACCGACGTGCAAGATCCGTGCAAGATCCGTGCAAGATTTTTTGCACTAATCTTGCACAGTAATTTTTTTGACAACCCGAGTTATTGTGTTCCAAACCGTGCAAAAACCGTGCAAGACCGACTCTTGCAAGTTTTGTGCAAGATCCGTGCAAGTTCTATTCATATCTTGCACAGAACTTGCACAAAACTTGCATGAATTGATTTTGAGGTTTGAACACCCTAATTATCAGGAAGTATGGGTTTACAGGATATGGGTTTCGAGGGAGTCGACTGTAGTCTGGGTGCGGTGCGGAGGAACCGCTATCCGTAGTGGTGTGTTAGCGGCTGAAAAACTACAACGCTACCGCTCCACATCCGTATGATCCGCCCGACAGAGCGCGAGGGTTTGATCGAAGTTTTCCTTTCAACCTTCTTTACCTCGCATTCAACTCAGAACTTCCAAACTTTTTTCCCCATCTTCAAGCTAATCGTTGTGAATATCAAGTTTCATTCAAATATTTCAAAATTCAGTATCCATTATCCTTGAAGTCAAATCTGCACAAGTTCCGTTGGATCTCGTTGAAGTTGAACAAGATATCTAATATCCAGACGATCTGCATCCAAGCAAATAAGATGCCTAGTCCTATCTTGGCAGGTCCATCTGACCGTAGCAAAGAATTGAAATACGTCCGTGATTTAATGAAGAAGCACAATGTCGAAATATATATCGTGCCAACTGAAGATGCTCATGGCAGTGAATACATAGCTCCTACTGATGCTCGTAGGGAGTATATCACGGGTTTCACAGGCTCCGCCGGAACAGCACTCATTCTCGCCTCAAAGCCTCAAAGCTTGCTCTTTACCGATGGTCGATATTTTAATCAAGCTTCCAAACAACTTGACCCGTCGCATTGGACTTTGATGAAACAAGGACTACCGGGTGTTCCGACTTGGCAAGAGTATGTAGTGCAGTGTGCTGCAAGTCATAAGGCCGAACACGGTCAATCACTTTCTATCGGACTAGATCCAACCCTGGTCAATATTCAGGATGCTGCAGATTTGGCTCTTCGACTTCAACCTCACTCGGGCCGACTGGTCAGTTTGCGGGAAAACTTGATCGACGAGCAGTGGGGCTCATCCAAACCTAAACGTCCACATCAACCGGTCATTCATCTTTCAGAACAACTTGCAGGTCAATCAAGTCAATCAAAGATCGCAGCTGTACGTCAAAGAATTAACGATCTACCTGGCGTCGATCGTGTTGCTGGGATCCTCATCAGTGCGCTGGATGAAGTTGCATGGCTCTTGAACCTTCGAGGCAGTGATATTGCTTTTAATCCGGTCTTTTTCTCCTACGCTTGGGTTGGAGCCACCGAGGGTGTGACTCTGTTTATCTCTCAAAATCAAATCAATAGCGAGATTGGATGTTATCTAGAAGAGCTAGGCGTCGAACTAGAGGATTACGAATCTGTATGGGATCACTTACGAAGTATCGAAGAAAGTCAAGTTTTGCTGGGATCAGATCGTGATCAGAAGTCCAAGGTTGTATTATCCAACAAGAGCTCCTTGGCTGTGGAGGATGCACTCGGAGGACCGGATTTTATTCACAGCATGCGATCTCCGATTCAAGACCTAAAAGCCATCAAGAATGAAACAGAGATAGATGGGTTCAGAAATGCTCACATTCGAGACGGAGCAGCCTTGGTCGCTTATTTTGCTTGGCTAGAAGACCAGTTGTCCAGGTCCCAATCAACGCCTCTTACTGAATATAGTGCTGCTCTTGAACTAGAGGCTACACGGAAGAGAATGGGAGGAGAGTATTACCGGGGTCTGAGCTTCGATACTATTTCAAGTACCGGAAAGAACGCTGCTGTGATCCACTATAAACCAGATGAATATAAGTCAGATGTAATTCGACAAGACCAAATCTACTTATGCGATTCCGGAGCTCAGTATATGGATGGGACTACGGATGTGACCAGAACCCTGGTACGCAACATTCATTGAGAACTGGACTCAGAGGAGAGCATAACCCCTATCTCTGACCTTTTGCTTGTTTCATCTAATTTGAAAGTAGCACTTTGGGACACCTTCAGAGGAAGAGATCAGAGCGTTTACTCGAGTGCTACAAGGTCATATCTGCATCGATCGTATGGTGTTTCCTGAAAACACTACGGGATATAGGCTAGACTCATTTGCAAGGCAGTTTCTTTGGAGAGATGGCCTGGATTATCGACATGGTACTGGTCATGGTGTTGGTCACTTTTTGAATGTTCATGAAGGTCCACAAGGTATTGGTACTAGGAAATCTTGTGACGAAGTGCGTCTTGAAGCCGGCATGACTTTGTCCAACGGTGAGTTTGATTTCTTTCAGATACCTCCGATTGCATGAGCAAAGTTGACGCAGGGGGCTGCGAAAACTCTTTAACAATTTGGCAGAGCCTGGGTTCTATAAAGACGACCAATTCGGAGTTCGAATCGAGTCTGTGGTAGTAGTCAAGGTGGTTGACACTCCTCACCAATTTGGTGGAAAGTATTTTGGCTTCGAGAATTTCACGCTTTGTCCCATCCAAACGAAGTTGGTGGATTTGAAATTATTGGATCGTCATGAAGTCAAGTGGCTAAATGATTATCATCACACTGGTGAGTGCTCCAGCCTCCGATACATCTGCTCCTCGTTTAGTTAAGATGCATGGCTGAATAACATCATTGTATACGCGAACTTTTAGTGTATGAAAAACTAAAGCCTCTGCTCAAAGATAACCAACTGGCGTTGAAATGGCTTAAGAAAGAATGTCGACCTGTGTAAAGCAATTGCAAAAGCAAAATTTCCTTCATCTCCTACTTTTTGTGACTGTTCATTCGAAGATGTTGGAGAGAGATTTTCATGTGTGTCCCTGTAGCTTTCTTAGTTGATGGCGAAGTTTTGAATGACGAGCTCGAAGTGACCATTTAAGTTGATACAAGTATGCATAATTTTAATAAGTACACATCAGTGATAGAAGATGTATAAGACAAACACGCAGGTTTTGATCCTCCGATCATGTTTTGTATTCTGTCAAATGAAAGCTGAATAAAAAACATGACGTTTGGCGGACAAACACTCATCATAACATCACACAGCACTGTTGAGCACGATTCCTAGGTGAGAAACCTATATCTTCCGAAGACTTAAACACCATTCTCATTGATTGAGCCTCATAGAAACTAAGATGAAACTAAGGACATAATAATTGTACAGTGACTGACCAAAACAGAACAGAAACTCATGTAAGCCAAAAAAAGAACACAGAACAAATAGTTGAAAGTGATAAAGGTAAAAAAGTATTCAGTCGAAAACTTCAAGAGTGACGATCGTACCAGAAAAGACACAAAGGTAGGAAAAGAGGCACGAGAGTGAAGAATTTATGACGTCAATGACGGAATACCCAAATGAATGAAAAGAAGAAATCGAGACATCATGTGTCAGGAAGGACCCTGGTCATAAGCTGATTCGTAGTCTTCAATAGCAAGTTACCCACTACATTATGGGGATCGCAATCCCTCACTCAAATCTAATGAGTCAGTACGATATATTTCTCTGATCTGCCGTATGGTCAGATGATCCATGTTTCTGTGAGAATCAAAAAGAAACTGATCAAAACCTGACTTTGTTCTTGCAACGGGTTGAGAAGGAAATGAAAGTTTGATCAGTTCAGTTAGTATGATATAGTCCAAGATTGAACTGACTGGTGAATGAGCTCATGGTCAGGAGACTAGAGGGTACAGGGTGCTATGACTAAATCAGATCCTTTTGTCTTTAATTATCCTTTGTGTGTTGGATGAAAATGTATAATTTGAAACAACAGTTTGTTTTAATCTGGATTGTCATATAAACCATCGGAATAAATTGAGTTTTGGTTTTCACATTACCCATTTTGTGACTTGACTTCATTCTCATTCTCAATCGCATTCGCATTCGCATTCTCAACTTCAACTTCAACTTCAACATGCCAATTCTCAATCGTACTTCTTCGACTAAACATTTCACTTCACCTCAACCTACTTCAGCAGCTCTAATCAGTAACCATTCAGCTCCAAACTTACCTACTAATCTAGATGTCAACACAAACGAACATCACAACGAATCATCTGATTCCGATGATACTAAACTCAAACAACTATTAGCTGTCCTCAAGAAAGCAATCGGAGTAAAGGATATGGGTGCAATGAGATTAAGTTTACCTGCTAACTTAATCACTCCAATGGGCAACCTTGAATACTGGTATGCTTTACCCTGTTTACTTTGCTCAATTTATTCTTATCATCACTCTTATCTTTCATTCTTCGTTTTTTTGTCTATTCATCGCCAATTAGGTGTTATCTTGATCGACCTGACGTTTTTGCTGCTATCGATGAATCTGATGATCCACTCGAAAGAATGTTGGCTGTCTTGAGATGGACTTGTACGTGGTTTCCTTCATGTCAATTGATTTCCTTTTGCATCTAATCCACATCATCTTATCTGATCCAAAGTCACAAAGGATCTCAAGTTTATTCATGGACCGATCTGTAAACCCTATAACAGTGTGTAAGCAAACCCAATCCATTTCTCTGTATAAGCCATTGAATTCTAATTTGTATGGACTTGATTGGTCTGCCATAGCCTTGGAGAACAATTCAGGTGTCTCTTCGATGTCAACCCCGTGAAGACAGATTCAAAGACAGGGAAACTAGAAGTTTATGAAACCGTTCCACAGTCAACCCCCGCAAGTCCTACAGAAATTCTTTGTCCATCAGGCTCTCAGCAGCGTTCACCGAGTCATACCGATAGTCCAGCGAGTAGTACATACACACATGAAGTTCGATCGATTTCTACAATTGCTACTACAGTCTCGGGTTCAAGTTGTAAACCTGATAATAACAAAAAAGCTAGAGTGGTCTTTCTCAATGAACAAGTCTCTCATCATCCTCCTATCTCTTGTTTCTGGTATGAATCAAGACCAATTCCTCGGAATGAATCGGATGGTTCAGAATTACCTTCAAATGTCATTGCATATGGTGTAGATCAAATTAGTGCCAAGTTTACAGGTACGAGTGTGAAAGTATTCCCAGGACCGATGAACAAGGGAATCTATGTTAAGCTACCAAGGCGGGATGAGGAGTATGAGGTAAGCTGATCGAGTTAAGGAAGATATCTTGATTTTCGACAGCAAAAAAATCAAAGTGCTTTGGCTGTAGTACATATACTGACTCCTCTTGGTTTGATACATCTTTCAAACAGATCACACATCCGACTGCGACTATCACCGGCTTGTTGAGGGCTAGTCCGTATGTGGTTATCAGTGATTACACCTATATAACCTGTCGTGGTGCGAATTCCCAGGAGCGTTTCAGGACAATGATCAATTACACTGAAGAGGTCAGTGCTCTTGAACAGCCTCACATACATGATTCTATTGATCATATTTTTCTATTACTAACAATACTTCAACGTTCTTTCTGTTGATCAGAGTTGGATTGGTAAAGCTCGATTTGCTCTCGAAGGAATCATCTACTTGACCAAATCAGAAGACGAAATCTCAGAATGGACAAAGCTCAAACACGTTCCAGTAGAACGAATTCAGTGTAAATTCCACGGAACTTGGCGAGGAGAAATATTTTATACCCTTACAACTGAACCATCCATCACGAAACCTTTAATAGATTTAACCCAATTATTTCCATTACCCAAAGTAGTTAAACCAGAACCAAATCAAAGTCCCCAAGAAAGTCGAAAGTTTTGGTCTGAATTAACTAATTTAATCAAATCAAAAAATTATTCAGAAGCTACTAAAGTTAAACAAATCATAGAACAAAACCAAAGAGATTTAGCTGGGAAAAGGAAAGAAGGAAGCCAGAGGAATTTTGAAACTGAATTATTTGAAATTGATACCGATGAATATAAAGAGTTTAGTAAACCGTATTTAAAATCGAATGGTAAAGAAATTTTGGAAGCTGAATTTAAAGCTATTGGTTATACATCTTAATATCAAATGGAAAGGGCTTTTTTTCTTTTTTTTTCTCATGAAGGCTTTTCTATTCTCTTTTTTTGCAGCATATGCAACTTGTCATCGTTTCTTCTTTATAATCTTAAGATGTTTATAGTCATGATCTCTCTCTACCTCTTTCTTAGGCTGTGTGGATTCTATGTGATTGTAAGAGATGAAAGGTTTGATTTTTGATTTTTTTGATTTTTTCTACTTTTTTCAATACCTCTTGTATGTAGATTGATGATGATGATGCTGCTGCTGCTAGAATTTAATTTAATTTGTTCTTCTTTGTGTTTGTTTTACCCTTAACTTATTGACATACATTGACATCTCCTTAGTCATATTGTTGGATTTCTTTTTCAAGATTTTCTCTTTTCTTATAAATTTCTATTTGTTTGATAATGATGATGAGATTTTATATTTAAACATGGATGTTTGTCTTTGTGGGTCTATTAAATTGATTTGAGCAGTCAGAAAAATGATTTGGAATGTTATTCAAGATGTAAAAATGAAATCAAAGCAACTATGAAAGCTTGTGTACTCTTTGATCTTGGAGCAGGATGAGCTTTAGTTGGGTTTATATTGGATATAGTGGTTGCTAACCAAAATGGAAGAGATGATACAGCTGTTTTGACAATGATTGATTTGTTTTTTGGAGAAAGTGTTGCTGAGTAAAGCTAAGGCCACATTCACTCAAGGCGCATTCTGAGAAATCATATTCTATGCCAGCGGTTTTCTACAAGTAGAAAAGTGTGTTTTCAAAAAATCTGAAAGTTTCCGTTTTGTGAGAATTTGTGACAAAAGAAGGAATAAAGTGTTTGCTTAGATGAGCATTAAGGACAGGATCACAAATATTAGGACCTGTTTGGCTGGTTTAGCCAAAAAGTGTTACACAAGAACACTTTTTCAATCTGCCCCTTTTTCATGGGGCGGAATGAAAAACTTAAAATTTGCTTACACAATTACCAAACACTAAACCAAAGAGCTTATTGAAAGATTGAAATAGAGGGGCAAATGAGGGCGAAAACTCTTTTTGGTCTCAAAACAGCCTCAGGGCAGTTTTTCAAAATGGGGAGGGGGATTTTTCCACCAACCACTTTACACCGGATTATCCGGTGTAAAAAGTGACGGTGGAAAAATCAATACCAAGGGGGGGTAAGTCAAATTTTCCACCGGATTCTTTTTTTTTCAAGGGGTGGAAAAGAATCCGGTGGAAAATGGCCGGTGTAAAACTATTTTACCCGGCCGTGAAGTGTAATTTTACACCCAATCTTTCACACTGGATAATCGAGTGTAAAAAAAGTCGGGGTAAAAATTAACTTTGGCCACTCAAGTTATAATTTTACACTTAATCCTTTCCACCGGATTAATCTGGTGGAAGCCACACAGGTGCAAAAATTAAAATTCGACCCCCAAAGTTGAATTTTACACCCAACCAAAATTACACCGGGGTAAGTTTTTGGCAACGTTTCATAGACCACTCAACCCAAAACTCGCGCCCAATGACCATCAATTAATTACACAAGTACAATCATGACAATGATAAAAAAAAAGAAACAGGAAAAAAAGAGACTCAAAACAAACTTGCGCCAAATGACCATCTGTTTTACCAGTACAAGAATGACAATGAAAAGAAAAAGAAAGAAACCAAACCAAGGAAGGAAACAGAGAGAAAAACAAACTCCAAATGACCATCATTTATTTACACCCGTACAAGTATGACAAGGATTAAAACAAAACAAAAAAATTAAAAAGAAAGAGTGACAGAAGTAATTGATTAAAAAAAGCAAAAAGAGTGACGATAAGGAGACATAAGAAAGAGGACAACATAAGAAAGAAAAGTGATCAAAACATTTATTTACCCTTGCCCTTTGCAGCCTTAGCCTTACGTTTTTCTGCGGCTGCAGCCTTACGTTTTTCTGCGGCTGCTTGGCGTTTTTCTGCAGCAGCTTGGCGTTTGAGGCTTGCAGGGGAAATCGGGGTGGCCGTTGGAAATAGTCATACCCACAGAGTCAGAGTAAATAAATAGAATGAGGCAAATAGATTACTTTCACTTACCACCGGCATCACCCTCAGCGCTTTCCAATACCAATGTCGTAGGTAATTCTTGTGGTATCTTGAGCTTGATCTTCAGATTTCTCACTGGCTGCGAAATACTGTGAACTGGCGGTGAATCCTCTTCTTCATTTCTCTGAACTGGCTGAGAATGACTCTGAACTGGCTGTGATTGACCTTCTTGATCTAAAGTAAGAAGCAAATCGTCATTCTCATCTCCAGAATGACGATCAACGTCTTTGATAGAAGGCAGAGGACCTCCAAATGGTGCAACGTCCGTCGGCATTGAGAAGGGAATCGATTGGTGATGGTCCGGGAATGATTTCATTAGGTCGCAGATTGATTGGGCGATTTGTTCCTTTTCCTGTTGAAATGGAACACGTGAATAAACCAACCAGCTGGTGTTGGCTTGCGCACCACCAATGGCAGCCACGTCGGTACCTTGAAGCTGAGCAATACCTGCGTTTTGACGCTCATCAAAATGCCATACACCCAAGATCCCATCATACTTCCTCACCACTTTGCACCAGTAGTGACTTTCACTCCAAAAGCCTCGTGAAACCAGATGATAAGAATATTCACCCATCCATAATTGAGCTGGCCAAACTTGATCACCCATAAAAGTGTTCCTTTCGTCCTTAGTCATTCCAGCAACTCCTTCAACTAGAAAATAAAGATGTAATGGCGCCTCATTAGGAGCAGTAATAGTGATTTGACTACGTTGTCCTAGCATTGTGGGGTCGGTAGGGGTTTCTTCTACCTCCGGATGGCACTGTCGACACACCTGTCCAGTGTCAGATCGGAGTCCTTCAGTGAGCCACTCGCGGATTAAGATGCCAACGTCTGCAACTGAAATTGCAGCCTCCGAAAACATGCCGCTGGTGATCCTAAGAACGGGCCTGGTGGAAGGGAATGTTTGATTATGTCCTTCGTCGACAGGACAGATCTTGGTCCTTGTAACGGGAATGGAGAACAAAGGCCTCAGTTTGGCTGATTGGACAAGGCGTTCCATAAAGCCGTCAGCAGAGGCGAACGCGTCAAAAGCGAAAGAAGCAGGCGCCATCTTGTGAAGAGCTTTGTGCAAGAGGTTCTGACCTCGAGTTAGCACATTCTTCATATGATCACTATGAGTAATTTCGGCCTTCAGCCTTTGAGTGAAATGACGGATGAGAAGGACAATCAGATTGGTCCCGTTCACATGTGTATGTGAACTCCACAACGGTCCAAAAATGGCGTATAGAGATTCGAGTGTCAACGTCTGCCAGCAGCGGTTGATTGTACCGCGAGAAGAACCAGCCGAGTAAGATTGGTAAGTGGTGATAGGGTTCCGGTTGATGTTTTGAGAGCCCAAAGGTCGTCCAGGGCCTTTCCGCTTATTTTTCTTAGAGGTGGCAAGGAGCTCGTCGGTAGTGTCGGGAGCGCGGCCGTCATTTGCATGATACTTGCGTTTCGTCGGCTGTGGCATACCTAGGGCTGTGACGAAGTCCTCCCACTGCTTCTTTGATGATCCATAAGCAACATTGACTCCTTTTTGTCGAGACTGGAAATCCCGTTCGAGGCATTTCACAAACGCCAAAAGTTGGACCATACCGCCGATGAGTCCGCATTTGCCGTCACTGGAGAAATACATGAAATATATATGATCAGTATCTTATATAATAAATAGGAAGAAATAAATAATATAATCAAATACTTACCAAAGCATGTAATAAACCCGATGCAGCGACTCTTGCGCATTGGTTGTTGCCGCCACACGTTGCCGGGGTTTACGAGGAGCGCCTTCTGACTCAGATTCCGAATCTGATAAAGTTGGAGGTGGATCGTCTTCGGGTAGTCGATTCCTTCCTCAAAATAACATAGCTTCGATATCGGATGTGTGCCATCAATCCAGGAACTTCTTGGCACGAGGAAAAGTACGGCGGAGATAGTCAAAATGCTGATCTAGGGTCTCATTCTTTGGGGCCTCATCGTCAGGCAAGAGTAGCTCCTTGCACTTTGTTTGCCAAATGCCCTGTGATGTACAATCAATGTCAACAAAGATAGATAATAATAAGAATAACAAAGTAAATATTACTCACATCAAGTTCCTCCCTTACTATGTTACGATTGCGCTTGATCCGAGTCACAGCTTGCAAAAAATGCTGTTCGCATCCATGTAGCTTGGAGAGAGCAGTTTTCCGATCCGTGTTGAATACTTTCATATAGGCGGCTATAAAACCAGACTTTTGCGCTTGAGAGAAGTCAACCACTTGCTCCGTTAGTTTCCTCTTATCTCGATCAGGTAATCCACAATCTTGTATATGGCGTAATAAAGTGGTGAAATGGGCTTCGTAGTGTTCTGAGTACAGTCCTCCCAACCATGTGAGCAGGACGGGGACCCAGCGTTCCAGTTTCTCGTTGAACATAGATGTGGTGAGCAGGTATCCGTTTTGGAAGAACCGGTAAGTGACATCGGATAAAAGACCTCCTGAGTAAGCCTCGCGTTGGATGCTCCCATTGACAGTCCTCTTCTCTTGATATACAAGCATTTCAGCCATCCATTCGGTCTGAAAGCTGAAGTGGAAGTCCTTGAGATCCATCGAGACTGACACGAATCGCAAGCCTTGACTGTGTGTGAGGGAAAAAATTAAATTGTAAATAAAAGAAAAAGATTAAATGAAGCATAAGTACACTAACCTGCACCAATGCATAAGTTGGATGAGCCATTTATCGCCTCCTTCTTTGTCATTCTTATCAGCCATTAACCCATGTTCAATTAAGATAAGACGCCGAAGATAACCAAGCCGGTCGGTATTTCCAAAAGAGCTGTGGACTTCCACGATTGACTTGATTGGGTCCGTGCCAACATGCGCCTGTCCAACCTTGAAGTCATTGCAAACACACGCGTAAGATAAAGTGAAATCATCGTCAAAACTAATGATAACTTACTTTTAGACCCAAAGGTCCAACTTTGGGATCATTTAATACAACATCTTTGAGCTTCGCCTTTGAAAGTGGATCTGCCTTCTTGGCTTCTGGCCATTCGTGGGTATGTTTACCCTGGTGACGAAGCAAGCCCCATACAGCTTCGGGATCTGTGTGATCCTCGTCAATGCGACAGTGAGCAAGACATCGGATGTGTGTCTGTATGCCGATGCATCCAGTGACAGGGCACGCGGTGCCACTATATGGAAATATTTCAATGTGAGTATCTTATCTTTGAAACACGAGGTATATATATATTTGATAGACTTACTTTGATAGTATCTCCTCAATCTTATTGCGTCCAGTTGGCGGGGAACCAGCAAAAGTGCAACTCGGTTCAGAGCAACCCATTACACCAAGGCAGGTGTAACGTCAAATGATCCACTTGCCATTCCGATCGGTTTTCATCGTGTAAGTCCAAGCGATATGCCGAAAATTCGTTATTTTGTCTTTAGGATCTTTGACAAAAACTGTTTCCCCGTTGGGATACTTTGGGTAATTCTGAGAATCCACAATGGAACCGTGGTCAATCCAAGTTTGATACTGGGTCTTGTCCGTTGGTATTTGAAGCTGGCGACGGCGAGCTAAAAGCTTATCGGTCTGTTCCTCAGGGGTGCAGGCGACAGTATAATCGGCCAAATCGTCGAGATCATCGACTTCAGGGCTGATATCTTCACTCATGGTGATAGCACTGGAGTTGAACGACGTAGATGATCGACAGCTAGAAACAGGAGACACAGGATGTAATTCGACCAAATTTTTAACTTTAGACCGCGAACACCGTGTCTGTGTAGGCTTTGCTAGTCGACGAGCGCACACCAACTCCCTTTGAGGCAGAAAGGGAAGTCGTGCGCGCTCGTCGACGAGCGAACACTACCCGGACACGGTGGAAGATGGAGAAGGTAATGGCGATGGAGACGATCGAGATGATAAACTTGAGGTTTTAACAGGAGATGATGATAAACAGGATTTAACAGGAGAAGAAGGAGATGATACGACCAAAGACTCGTCGTCGTCGTCGTCGTCTTGAAAGACCTCAGACGACTGTGAAAGTCCCATTGCGAAATAAAACAAGACCAACACCTTGAGAAATATGAGAGGTTTACGATAGGGATAGGTAATGATATACGACGTTTGAGAGAAACTCGGTCCAGAAAGAGAGATTTTGGATGATGGGAAGTCAAGAACAGAAGGCCAAGGTGGGATATAAGGGTTCGATGTCATTGGATGAAGTGTCGAACTGAAGAAGCCGATCGGAAATGAACTTGAGTTGAAGTTGAAGCCCGTCATTCGAATCCTGTTTTTTCGAGACGCATCCACGGATATAAGTGGGAATGAAAGGTTTGAAGTTGTTTGGTGGCATGTGTGGTAAGTTGTTGGTTTGTTTGATATCTGATATCCAGACATGGTGGGATAAGATTCGGTGTCATCTCACGGTGGTAAAGTGTAGATTACCCCTTGAAGTGGGAAATTTACACCCTTTCCGGTTGCACCGGATCAGGGCGGTGTTAAGTATCCGGTGGAAAAGTACAGTCCACGACCGGGGCCATGAATTTTACCCCGACTTTTTTTACACTCGATTATCCAGTGTGAAAGATTGGGTGTAAAATTACACTTCACGGCCGGGTAAAATAGTTTTACACCGGCCATTTTCCACCGGATTCTTTTCCACCCCTTGAAAAAAGACGAATCCGGTGGAAAATTCGACTTACCCCCCCTTGGTATCAAATTTTCCACCGTCACTTTTTTACACCGGATAATCCGGTGTAAAGTGGTCGGTGGAAAAATCTCCCTGAAGACTCTTTGATCAAACGAAGTTAGGGCCTGTTTGGCTGGTTTAGCCAAAAATTGTTACACAAAAACACTTTTTTGTATGCCCCTTTTTCAAGGGGCGGATTGAAAAACATGAAATTTGGTTTCTATAATTACCAAACAATCAATTGAAAAGGTCATCAAAAAATCACAATAGAGGGGCAAATACTGTTTTTGGCCTGAAAAACAACCTTGAGGCTGTTTTTCCAGAATCAAAGAGTTTTTGATCAAAAATGGGTTTTGTTTTTGATCAAATGAAGTTCCCAAAAGCTGGTGTTTTTGACAAAACTTAAAAACAGTTTTGACCCAAAAACAGTTTTTGGCTTTGGTGGTGTTTTTGACCAAAAACCGTTTTTGGGTTCCAACCAAATGGACCAGTGTTTTTGATGAAAACCAAAAACTGTTTTGAGCCAAAAATGGTTGTTGGCTTTGGTGGTGCTTTTGACCAAAAACCTCTCTACATACACTGACTCATAGTTTTGGTGTGATTCCATTGGCTAAACCTCATGTACCACCCTTTCTGTTACTGTTGAATGGCTTTCAGAGTATTACATGAGTAGCTATGGAAGTATATGTGGTCAATTTTTGGGACTGTTCTGTCAAACTGGAAAAATTTACATGATGTATCACATGTGATTTACTTCTTCAGATGAGCAGGGAACTGAGCAGACCTGTATGTACATGACAGCTAATAATTACCTTGGCTTGTTGCACATATGTAGTGTGGGTGTTATGGCTCAGGTGTGCAGTGATATGTCCTTTGATGACAAACTACAATAATCATCATTTTCCCAGGTCTGCTTGGGGATAGTGTATAATGTTTACAGTGTAAACAAACAAAACAATATAAACAAAAGAAGAGATACTCAAAAAAGTCCTTAATATTGACTAAAGATTCCTTAAAGATTCACCGTTGTGGAATTCTTTGAATCTTTAGGTTCAATATGTTTCCCATGAGTTGACCCAACAATTGTGGATGCTCTGAGCGCAGCTAAACACAGGAAACAAGAAATGATTATATTTAGCTGGAGTTAAGTAATCTAACACATAATCCCACAGTTGTTGTCTTTAAGTTGGAGAAAGAGAAATCTAAACCACAAGTTAAAGACTAGGCCTACAGTGGTCATATCTATCTTGTAGCTAAACACAGATTTTTGTTTTTTCATCACTCACATGCTCAACAAAATTAAATTCAACATTATAATCAATTTGGTACTTATCATTAAAGGTCCATCTTTTGAATTGTTCCTATGCTCAACTTGTATCATGGATAATCAATCAACATAGATTTGATTCTTGCTTTACATTCTTGGCTTAACATGTCTATAAAGTCATTGGTATAAACATACATCAACACTGTAAGATTAATAATATACATAAATCACTGCTAGAAGAAATGGAAGAAATGATTGGTTTACCAAGAAGAATTGTGATAAAAGATAGATTGAAGTCAATGGCAGAAAGGGAAAGGAATGCTTTGAAAATCAAGATGGAAGATGAGTCATGCAATATTTGAGCAAGGGGTGTAAGTAGTATTGGTGAAATTCAAAGTCAGAGGTAGTTGAAGAAGATAAGCAAAGTGATTTTCATGATTATCAGAGTGATGTTGATCATGAATGGGAATGAGACTGAGGTGTTGCCATGTCTGTATCTCTGTAGGACATCACCATGCACCCACGGAGACTTTTGAAAAGAATCTGGATGAACTTTTCTCAATTTCAGACTGGTGGATCACCTTTATGCACACACCCTTTGTTGGAACTCAATTGCCTGAGTTTCAACAACCCAATTAACAAAGGCACAGCCTCAAGACTAGGCCTTCGCCCCGGCCCCTCCCCGGCCCTTCTCGGCTCTCCCAAAGCCCGCCCCCAAAATTCCCCGGTGGAAAACATTTGCGAAAACTGGTCCCGGCTCCCGACCTTGCAAGTGCGGGAGTCGGGGATTCCCCGCAGTTCCGGGGGCGCAGCACAGATTTAGCCGTGCAGGCCTCACTTTTAGCGCATTTTAGCCCCTCCAGCGTCCCCAAAGCCCGCCCCCGCAAGCTCCCCGTCATTCGTTTCTTCCCAACACTCATCCCGGCTCCCGACCTCGCGGGGGGGGGAGCCGGGGAGTCCCCGGAATTGCGGGGCCGGGGCAAAGGCCTACTCAAGACCTCTTTTGAGGCTCTTGCAAGTTTCTATCAAACGTCTTTTGTGTGTGCACGTTGATGTGTCACATGAATACAGACATGGTGTGTGTTGAGATACAGATGGAAATCAAGGTTGAGGTTAAGGTTTTGTATTAAGGAGGGAGACGGGGGATTATTGATCCAGTGTAGTTGTGATTTGGTGTGAAGTTGAGACTCAGAGTTATCTATAGCAAGAGCTAAGCTGATATAACCTTGTCCCAGCTTAGAGATCTCTTGTCAGACCTGAGTGAAGTGATCATGTGATCATTTTGAATTGTGCATATGAAGGGAGCTCAAGCAAGCATGGTGATATATAAGTTCATATCTTGACTAAGTTGTTGTTAGCCAGCAGAAAATCAAGCTCGGTGTCAATTTGCATTCTCCTTTGATTCAAGTGGATAAAAAGTTTGGGCATAATTGGGCATCATTACGCCAATGTCTCACTAGACCACACACCTTGAAATTTCCAACTTGTTTTGCATTCACAGGAGGATCCAGATCCTCAAGACCAGATGGATCTTGGCATGAGAATCTTCAGATTTCTGAACAATCAAATAACAAATCTATTAGTCAAATGGTCTTAAGGATGATTAGCATGAGTACGGAGAGATAGTTTGTGATGATAGGAAGTTGTGGTGAAATAATCTGCAATTATAAATGAAGAAAAACATCAAAGCTATTTCAGGACAAATTTGATAAACAAGACAGGGAGATACAAGTCATGGTTAGGTTTAGAACAGAAAGGTTTTGAGTGAAATATGGATGGTTTAGTTGCTAGTGTCAAGAAGCATAAAATCTTGGACCGGACATTTACCAAAAACTACATTTCAATACAAAATTTAGTATGTTGTAGAAACCAACTAAAACAAGAAGTTCAAATATTGAACTTCAAATGACATACAATCTGGGTTGCCATCAATGCCAGTAACAGTATCTTTGGCTCCAAAATTGGAGAAGTTTTCTGGCTCAGCCTCAAGTTGGCAGAACAATACCTGGGGGTCCAACCTTTGACGCCTCTTGGCACTTGCAACTATACAGGTTATTGCTATGTGTAGTTATGTCAATTACACACAAAAAGGGAATAGAGAAAAGAAAATGCTGCATAAGACATAGCCATTGATAATTGGGTTCCAACACTTGGACTGCAGAGGTATTGTCATCCTAATATTTTGTCCTAGTGATGTTTTCCTTAGCGGGATCTAGCTAAGCTAAGCCAAGGTGGCCAAAACCCTTAGCTAATGAGCTTAACAAGCCACTGTTGTCCCAACAAACCCGGCGGCACAACTCTAGCTCAAATATTTGATGCTATCTTCCGCCTGTTAACAAAACCAAGGGCATGGCTTTATTGGTGGAATATCTTGGATATCCATTCCATGCTGTTTTGTGTGCGTGCATTGCTGGATGATCCACCTCTTCCCATATGTTTTCATAGCTCAAAAAATGGGCTTGTAACTCAAAAAATATATTTTGGACCAAAAAAACATACTTGTAACTCAGAATATGTTTTTGGTGAGTCAATTTTGTAAACTTTGTTGACATGATTCAAGTGACACTTCGGATCCTCCATATTGACTTTAATCAGCTTGTTACTTGTTTCCCATTTGGAATCCCATACATGAATGAGTTCTTTCAATTCCTTTTTTACAATTATGTACATAGAAGTTGAGTACATATGGACCTGCAACCCTAGTCATCTTGTTTCAGAAACAACATGACTAGGGTTGATAATCCAAGGGGGATGCAACCCATACAAAGAATCCATTCACTGTAGGATCATTACTTTGCACACCCAAATGTGGTGATCTCAACCCATAAACCAGTCACTACTCAGAAAGGAGTGAAGACCATACAACATAAACAGTCCATATAATGCCAGTAGTTGAAAGTTGTTGCATCAAGCTTGGAACCCCACCTCCATCAAACAGCATCTCCGGGCTGTATCATCAGCCCATTTGGTATTTGATCATTGTTGACAGCCAACTTCATATTCTGATCTGACAGTAATGATTGCCATATATAAGTGCCCAAAATTTTTTGATTGTGACTGAATGGCAATCAAGCAAAAGCCTGATCAATGGAGGGTATCCTTGGGGACACTAGGATGTAGCCGCAAAGCCTCACATAAAACAGCTTGGGTCCAGAAAAATTGCCTATAGTTACTGTATGTGATCATCCCAGATTTGGCACCTTGATCCATTTTGCTTATATCTTTTTGCACATGGTCAATCATCCCAGGGTTCATGATTAAATGAAAGAAGGCCCATGAAAGAGCCTGAGCTGTGGTGTTACTACAAAAGATGGGTAAATAAATTTCAGGATGGGGCTCTCCAACAAACGTGATGCAGGAGAAAATGTACCGCCCTGCTATAAGCCTGTTTAGCAACACATCCTTCAGCTACGTTTGGTTAAGAGGGGTACCCTTTTGGTCCTCTGCCTTCATGAAAAAATCCAATAGATCCTCAGGCCCTTCATCATTCTTATCTTCCTTGCTTGGTCTTTCATTGATCAAATTGTAAGTGTAATTATCTAGTGTCTTACAAGCATTTACCACCCGGTTGCCCAAAGATGGTACAATTTTTTCCAGAATCTACAATCCAGATACAATGGAGAAGCACCAATTGAGATAGTCTGGAGCTACATCAAAATCCTCTGTGAATGCAATTGTGGAGCTATCTAGATGCATATCTGGGCACATCTCTGCTTTTAAGATGTCCAAATCTTTAATTCCAAACCTGTGATGATCAAATAGGAAGGCGTGTTTTTCAATGAACATTATCACAATTACAATCATCTGATTTCTTGTGAGCTGAAAGGTTTAGATGTTGAGGAATACATACATCATTTTGACAAATAACTCAAGGGTAAATTTATGGAAGATTGAGCAGAAGTCAACCTCTAAATTGTGATTGGCTTGGTGTTGAAGCATTGAACTGAGTGATTGTAAGCTTTCATCAAGTGATGGCATAACAATGTTCTGAAAAGTACAAGGGTACCAATGGCCTCAATAACTCATCTTCTTGTATTTGTACCAACATTGGAAGGTCAATCAGAGGTCACTTACTTTGAACAAATTGGCCTTGAAGATTCTTGAGGTGCATCATCTGGTACTTTTCTACCGTGCGCTGTCTGTCACAAAGATGTCTTCTCAGAATACATTGCTCATGATGCCGTGGAATATGTGCCCCTGATGGGTTAAATCAGATATGAGAAGACTTTTTCTGAAAGCCAAGTTTCTGAAAGGGTATGAACTTACTTTCACGTAATTGGAAAAGTTTGCTGTAGGAGAAAGATACCATAAGTAACTTTGTGCTCAATTGCAGCAACACACTTGGCTCATTTCAATGAATTTTGAAGATGTTCTCAATTCTCACTTTTCTACACATATTCTATCCACTCTGGTTTACTGATATCAATGAGTCATAATCCAGGAAAAGTACAACTCCAACCAGGGCTGTGTTTGATTCCTAGGGAAGCTGCCCATTTCAGACCTTCCTTGCTATGATAGACAGCACGTGGCAGCTAATTAAGGGTCAATGGAAAGATTGGATGAGTCAAAAGCTTGTGCAGACTTGGCACATATATCAGGCTATATCAGAGGCCATTGAATATTTTGCAAAGTGACTTGACTGTTGAGGGGCATACTTACTGCTCCAAACCTGGATAATGATATCTTGTCAGAAAAGAGGCTTAATACACCCCATTCAACAACTGAAAACCATACTCACAAAGGTAGGCCAGGTACGGCTTGAAAGTTGGGGTCTTTTTGTGGAGCCGTTCCAATTGCTATCTCATTTACATTGAGTTGACCTTTCTTCAGTTTATCTACGTAAGTGTGCCAGAACATATCAAGAAGGCTGACCTCAATTTTGACTTGACCCATTTCAGGGTTCAGTTATTTACACATCAGTGAGTGTAAATCAAGCGGCCCAAGGAAGTGACGGGATGCACCAAACAAGTTAGCATTTAGGGTACTTGGACTCACTATTTGATGAGGAAGTAAACTGCACACAAGCCAAAAAGAACACTTGTATTCAATATATCAGGGATTGGCTGACCAAACAATGACATAAGGGAAGATGGGATATGGCTGGAGTTTGATGATGATTGCTTCTCACTTTGTTTAGATAGTCAAGATTGAGAAGGGACCCGGGAGTGTTGGCCTTCCAGGCTATTTCAGTCTTGAATCCAATCAAATCAGTGTTTTGATTTGACTGTCTTTCACTCTTGACTGTTGACCTGTTCTTTATAAGTATAGACACATACCTATGATATGAAGGGGATTTCAAGTTTGGTTATCTTGTACGTATCTTTTAGCAATTCAGACAAGAGGGGGTGTCAAGTTTGAGGTCTTTGCGGTATTTGCCGTAAGAGCATCCACAGCTGTGCAGTAAATTCGTGATGTACAGAAACTCACACAACACAGATCATTTAGGGAAGCATTTAAGGTAAGGATTTTGAACAAACGACAGCTGTGGTTCCCTACAGTACAGCTTGTAGCATAATTTAGGAGGTGTGTTATGGCTTAGTTGATGATTGAGGTGTCTGATTGGGGGAGATTCTGATTGTACATTTTGTAGTTTATGGGAGAAGCAAGGTACAGAAGGATTTGGGGCGCGAGCCAAAATAGAACATATTTGGCCTATTTTTGGCCTATGTTGGCTCACACGCAGAGAAATCCCTAAGCTAAGTGAGTGTTTGAGGTAGACGGCTGTGCATGGAACCACCTCAAACATCTGTACGTTACAGATTTACGGCACCGCTGTGGATGCTCTAAAAGACTTTCCCGCTGAAGCATAAGTTTACAACACGCAATCCAAGACCTTGCCCTGACTGTTTCACGCTCTGAGGCAGATAGGCTTGATAGTGGATGCAAGGACAAGCTTGCATCCTCTGACCAGCACATTCCTCAACACTGGGTGGATAATCGAGGCAAAAGACTACAAAAGTCTCGATCATGGTTTACTGGTGATTATAAAGACTCCGGAAAGTTTTTCTCCAGCTAAAACGTGAAAACTTTCCCGTATTTTGGTTATTTTTGTTGTAAAAATTCAAACTTGACACCCCCTAAGGTGTTCAAAAAGAATCTTCGTCAAAACGGGCGTATTTTAAACTCGGGATACCTAAAAAGGTGTTCCGATTGAAAGCAATTACGCATATTTAACGGCCAAGTTGCTGTAGCGTATGATGACGTAAAAAAACCAAGGTGGGATGATCCCACTTGAAACTTCGCAAATAGAGTTCCTCCGTATAATACATAGTTTTGTAACAGACCTGAGTGTTGCAGCTTCTTCGACAATTCGGCCGTCCCTGTAACGCGACATAAGAAATCGAGTCCACTGATCTTTGCCGTCGATCCTCCAGGTTGATTGATCGCAACACTGTGAAGTTAGTGATACTATTTAAACACCCATAAGCTTCTATCAGATGCTCAGTGCGAAGCCCCAAAATGCACATCTTTCTCACATTCGCGGTTGCTCAGCTGCCCCTACTGGTTCAAGCCTTCTTGCTACATCCGCACTACCAGTCAAATTCAAAGGCTCGCCTGATTCGACTCGCACTTGTTCCCATTGGTGTGTGGTCGCTCTTTTCCTTTGGGTCGCAATGGCGGAAAACCCTTCCGGGATGGATAAATCCTTCGGCCAACAAAAACTTTGGCCAATTTCTCATAGTATCAGCCTTGCGTTGTATGACCTGGGGTACCACTTCCACACCATACTATCGACTTTCTCCCTCCGGACCACCTAAAAAGGCACCTGAAAAATTGAGCAAGCGTCTCTGGTTTGCGTTGGAATTATTTTGCAACTTTCGTGGAATTGGATGGTCATTTGGCGTGCCTATAGAGGCTCAAATTCAAACCAATACTGAATTTCTTCGTGCTACTTATCGTCGTCTCTTCATCAACGCTGCAGTGTTCTTGACCTCACTTGAATTGCTGGCACTCCTGAAAGATTCACCTTACTATGGAATGTTCCCATTCTCCTATCTGAAGGGGCTTCTGGCTATGCCCTTTTTCTGGGTCATGATTGATAGTTTAGGATGCTTACCTCGATTTATGGCCACCATCTTCCGCCTCGATAAAAATGAATACCCATTCTTTCTCAATTCAGCACTCAAGTCGTCAAGCTTGACTGAACTTTGGTCTCGTCGCTGGCATAGTTGTTTGCGTCACACTTTAATCGAAGCCGGAGCTCGTCCTGCTTATCGTCTAATGCGATTCGTTGGACAACCCTACCTGAGTGGAAGAACAAATGAGATAGCTCAAGCAGTTGGGACTTTATCAGCTTTTTTGATGTCAGGCTTGGTGCACGAGTTTGGTCTCTGGTATTCTACCCATCTTGATCGATCATTCCGTTCTACCACATTTTTTCTTGCACAAGGAGTAGGTATTTTACTAGAAGAGGGTTTCAATCGAATGACTGGGAGGCGTGTTGGTGGCTGGCCGGGGTGGACATTTGTTTTAATTTGGATTATATTCTGGATTCGACCAATGGTTGATGCTTATGTTGAGCATGGCATGATAAACCTTGATCAACTTCCCACTGTCAGTCAGTACCTTCGGACCTATCTCAAATATCATCCTGTAGCTGTTTTTTCTTAAATCTTGTGGAAATCAAGAAGTTTCTACCTTTCATTTATATGTATTCATATCATCTTTCTTTTTAAAAAACCCATAGTTGTAGATCATATTTTAAAACTCACAACTTTTCATTCTTTACATCATTGCTTTAAATAAATTCTTCCGTTGTATTTTATTTTATTTTATTTTCATTTAAAAAATCAAGGTTCATTTTAGTTTATTCAACTCAAGATAAACATTACAAAAAACAATTTGAAAATTATATTAAAAAATAAAGAATATGATTAAAATAAACAGAAAAAGTAAATGGAGTAAATTTTAAATGCAAGATATAGTAAAGAGGAATTTAACTGGTCTTAAATGAATCACCAATAAAAAAACATCAAAAAAATAAGGATCTTGGTATCACCACCATCCCTCCTTGGTAGCCTCACCACCCCCTGATTGAACCAAGAAAACAATCTATGACTGTTCTACTGTTAGTTTAAGGACAACTTGACACACTGATTGAATGAGATTGGACAATCTGAGAAAGACAAAGATTGGACAAAAATGTTTCATGCAACACAACATGCGCAACAGTGCCAAAAACAAAAAAAACACAGATCCCGGATCTTGTTCCGCGGCGGGGCAGGCCGCAACATTTCCATTGGATCTATGCTGCGGTGTGGACCAAAAAACCGCAACTTCTCCGCAGAGCAGCGCACAACCACAGCATTGCTGGCCCACGGTTGCAAAGATACGCAAGCCAAAAAAATAAGTACAGTACATATTTTCTGGGAGTGCAATCTTGTATAGATGTACTACCTTTGCTAAAAAGGTTGACCGGGTCGACCGCACAACAGAAGACAAGAAAGGCCAAATTTCGCCGCAGCCTGCTGCGAAGCCGCTGCGCAGCTTGCAGAATCCAAAATCCACCCGATCACAAATCTTCATACGATCGACATGAACTGCCGCTTTCTGGCTTTGTAATGTCTTGGGATTGATCATAAAGCACATATATCTAGCTCATTATGTTGAAATCAAGCGTACAGTCAGTTTTTCTAACTTCACCTGAGCTGTAAACGGAATAGATACTTGTTTTAACCCCAGCACAACAAGAACGTTCGGTCGAACGGCATGAAACAGCTGCATTGTGGATTGAAAAGGTTGGCCTGCATGGGTTCGAGGCTGACTTGTACCCTCTCTTTTGCTGAAATTTTGAAATGAGATCAAGTTTTTGATCTTGGATGTGTCAGTGCAATCATTGTCCTATGATAACCTCATTTGAGCTCTTGACTGAGCAAGAAAAATGAAAGTTTTTTTTTTCAAAAAAAGACTTATCCTTTTTTCTATGATTTGGCCAAAATGTAAAAGCACAAAAGGACACACAGGCTCGAACACACTACCAGTGCTCATCACCACTTGAATGTCAATAGATCACGTGTGCCATGTCAACCACTACACTAGGAAGACTATGGGGAAACATGGGAATGTGCATAATCGATCTCACTGAACTAAAGCTGGGCTCGGCTGTACGGTCAATCTGGTCATGCCAAGCTCTACATTTGTCGTAGATATAGTTTGCATGAGTCTCAAGACATTACAAAGCCAGAAATATGAAGATTTGTGATCGGGTGGATTTTGGATTCTGCGAGCTGCGCAGCGGCTTCGCAGCAGGCTGCGGCAAAATTTGGCCTTTCTTGTCTTCTGTTGTGCGGTCGACCCGGTCAACCTTTTTAGCAAAGGTAGTAAACCACTTTAGTTAAGTTTGTCAGCTTCATAGCTTTTTCACACTTAGCACAAGAAAGAAGTGAACCTTCAGTTGATCAATTGGATTGATTCACATGCGTTGAAGCTTTCGTCTAAAGAACGAATCCAAGGGCAATTAAGACAGCATTGCTCAGCTGAGTGTATCATGCAAGTTTGTTCATTTGGAAGATGCTGCACATGACACACAAGGCCATTGAGAAAGAAATAATTGTTTCAAGAGCTTCAAGTTCTGAAGCTACATTAAAAAATTACAGACAAATCAACTGGTGTCACTAGTAAGTGAGGCTTTCACTGACTGTGAAAGGGAGGGAGTGGTGGGGATACCGGGATCCACTTTCATCCAAAAACATGCTAAACATATCTGCCTCTACATATGTGTACAACAAAGGGCAGTTGAATGTTATCGTAAAGAACGATCTTGAATGCCAGATAGCTTAAAATCCAGCACATCAACCAAAAAGGCTCATAGAACCTAAGACTTTCAAGGATATCTCAAAACTACACCATGGACAAAATCGATGATCAGGAATATGATTGTATCATCATTGGAGGAGGTTAGCTACCAATATAGCTAAACTGAGTTATCAAATACTACAACATTGAAGAAGATTGCTAACATTTGTTTTCTGATTTGTTTCTTGATATTTTGGTTTTGGAAATAGGATTCTCTGGATTGATTTCAGCAATTGAATTACAAAAAAGATCAGAATCGAATCTAAACATCTTGATCTTAGAATCACAATCACGTTTAGGTGGTAGATCTTTGACTGATTTAAATCGATTCCCTTTACCTATCGATTTAGGTTGTAGTTTGATTCATGGTTATCATGAAGGTAATCCCATGAGTCAAATCGCTAAAGAGTTCAATGTTGTACGTTTTTGAGATTCATTTCAACTCGTTCTCCTTTGACTTATGTGATTCTTGGCACTGACGTTGATTACTTGAATTTGGTTTAGGAAGTGGTGGTTACACCAGATCAAGACACTTTGGTATTGGGTCATGACGGTGAGTTTTACAATTAGCAAGATCGTGATGTTATTGTGATCACTTGAATTGATATTCGTTCTATAACTATTCACAGGTTTATTAGATTTGAACGAAAGTAAATCAATCTTAGAATCATTAGACAAATGCATAAACGAAGTCAAACAAAACTTAAAAGAATCAATACCACCCGAAACAGAATCGTTAGAAGATTCGCTTCGAAATCATATAACCACACATTATTCCAACCAATCCAATTTATTATCAAAATTGATTCAAACCATTGAAGTAGGAGCTGGTATACCATTAAATCAAATCTCGAGTAAACATTTTGGATTTCATAGATCATTTTCTGGTAGTGACGGTTTACCAACTGGAGGTTATCAAGAAATTGTAAACCAAATCGAAAAGAAAATTAATCAATTAGGACTTCAACTTAAAATGAATTCAGAAGTGACGAAGTTAGTTTATGATAAAGAAAATTCTAAAGTCAAATTAGAAGTCTGCAACAAATCAGATTCGAGCTCAACAACTCAATCTTATCAAAGTAAATATTGTATTTCTACTATACCATTAGGAGTTTTAAAAACAAATCCACCTAAATTCGAACCACCATTAGAATTATTAACAAGATTATCCATAGAGAATACTTCAGTAGGTTTGTTGAACAAAATCGTACTAAATTATGAATACGCTTGGTGGCCAAATTCAAAAACGATTGGAAGATATATCTTGACATCAAATCGAAATACTAAATTAACTGAAAAAACAAATTCATTAACCGATATTTTAGCAATGACAACGTTTTGGGTAGATAACTTAGCGGTCGAGAACTGTAATCAATCTTATCCAATTTTAATAATTCCAATTGGAGCTCTAGCAGCTAAAGAAATCGAGAAATTTTCTGACGAAGATATTATCCAAACTTTACACAAATATTTGACCCAACGATTTCAAATACCAGACCAAATGCTCAATTTACCAAAATCATCTACCATCACACGGTGGGAATCAAATCTTTATTCACGCGGTGCAACTTCTTCACCCATAAGAATTAAAGATGACAAGATTAGTAGTACAAGTCCATTAGATTTGATTTTACTTAGTAGATCTAATTGGGATGGACATTTGGGTTTTGCAGGTGAACATACCGAAGTGGATCATCGTGGTTCTGTTGCAGGTGCGATCTTAAGTGGTAAAAGAGAAGCAAAAAGGGTGATTCAATTACTTGATTTGACTGCAAAACACTGAATGTGATTTCAATCGATCAAATAATGATGACATTTGGTTATATATTGTCAGGGGTTTGAATTTATCTTGTTTCAAAATTCTATAACTCAGTCTCTAATTGTTTGTAACAAAAGGAAGATGATTTGTTTGATTTTATGATTTATTTGTATGAATTGTGATCTTATTTACAGCTATTTGGTGCTATTTATATATGTTCTCAAAGTTGACTCTTTGGCCATGTGATTGATTTGTATGAAGTGTAATCTCAATTGATCTCATTTAAGGCTATTCTAGGAATCTTGTATAGTACCTCACCCCTGAAAACAAGGAAATCAAATGGATCTCCAAAACTTATCCCTTCTGCCAAAACTCACCTTTTTTGGATTCCAAAAGTGGTTTTGGAATTGTGAGATTGAGGACTCTGTGTTTATAGCATTTTGAAACAATCTACAGTTTTTTCTTGCTTTTCAATTTTCAATCTTCAGGGCACAACCCTGTTATACATTTTGTTATTTTCAGCAATAAGCACTAGACCTTGCTGCTTGTTGCACACTCCAATACATAGCAAGTGACTTGCACCAGTGGCCAAACTTGTGTGTTTGAATTGCTTAGAGTTGAGGTATTGGCAGGATTGATTCTTGAATGTCATTTAGACAATTCTCTACCAGAGATCCCTATGTGGAGAAAGACAAAAGAATGTGCTGATATCCTGTGTAGATTTTGCACTACATTTTCCCTAAGGCAGTTGATTCCCTCTTGTATTATAACTGTCTCGAAGATTGAGTCTTGAAGGCAAGTTTGGACTCAAGCAGGACATTACATGTGTGATTGACCATGAACACCCAATTTGTGAGACAGTCATTGGGCAAGAGGCAATCAACTTCCTTGGAAAAGAATTGGTGTACAACATGCACCTGAGAAAAGTGCACATATTCTCTGTTTGGACCAGTTAGGAATCTCTAGCAGGGGGATGTATAGATGAATTTAAAGGAAGCCCCTGCAAAGGATTTGACTCTGAGTAATGATTGTGCAAGTTTGACATAAGTCTCTTGCTGTGCATCAGAGTGTGCAACAAGAATTGAGGGACTTTGATAAGCTGATAAATGTCGGATTTTGACACTGGGCAGAAATGTTGGAATACAATCAAGACAATCACTTATGGCATTAGACTTATGTTTAATATGGGTTGTGTCTTTATTTCATAAATCACAGTGATCCATAGCAAATTCCCAATATGACTATTGCAGATCATCCCCAATCTTTTGTCTAGAATTATTGTTAGATATATTTACTTGTTGTGTTTCAGTGTTTACTCTCTTCTCCATCTTTTCACTGCGAATATAATGTATTTTTCCGAGGTGAAAAATGATTACATTTATTTCACAAAATGATTAAAAATGCATTAATTCTGCATTAATTCTGCATTTTTCTGCATTAATTCTGCATTATTAATCATTTTGTGCATTAATGTCAATCATTTTTCACCTGGGAAAAATACATTATTTTTGCAGTGTTTGGAAAGAGAGTAAGTAATTTTGTACCCTTCATTTTATTTCACTATACTAATACCTTGTTATATGTGTTAGAACATCCATTAGATCCCATTTACAAATTTTATCTTGGAACCTTTCAGTTTCTCACTATTGTCCTCCACTTTCCCGTATAGGTAGATTGAACCGCATCTTATATTATGATTCTGTTGGTATCTTAAATGTTGTTTCCTCTTATTTCCTTATTTGTATTTTTGTTGATTTAGGTTAGCTCAAAAGGTCTGCATACCTAAAAAGTTGTGGAGAAGAGTGCTTACCTGTTGCACTGGTTTTGTAGGTTAGTTGATGATAATAATAAGATAGATCTTCTGGAAAGAGAAACATCCATTAGATCCCATTCACAAGTTTTATCTCAAAGCCTTTGTTTCTCACTATTGTCCTCCACTTTTTCTGTATAGGTTAGTTTGAAAGGTCTACAAACCTCAAGAGTTTTGGAGAAGAGTGCTCACCTGTTGCACTGGTTTTATAGGCTACTTGGTGTTCCCATTCTTCTACATGGTAGTAAGAGAAGTTTTCACCAAAGTGTGTTTCTTTAAATCATATCAAAGCGGATAGTATTTGTGCCCCAAGAATCTTGACAAGTATAAAGCATGGGTAGCAGCTAAGAAGGCAAAAGGGGAGTGGGTAGAAAGAGGTCCACCATCCACATCTTCTGTATCATTAACATCACCAGAAAAAAATACTACCCTGTCATATATCCCTTCTTTATCATCACTTCAAGAAGCTTTGGATAAGTCTGATTTCTCTGCTAGTGCTAGTGCAGTATATATTGTCAACCAAAATTCAGATATAAAAACAAGCATTTTGGTATTGTGGATAGTGGGACAACTCACCACATGTTCAAGTCAGAAAGTTTTTTGACATACACAATTTCACTATCAATTCATCTTCAAATCAATGTGTTGGATTAGCTTGTGGATCATCAACCTTAGAAATCAAAGGTCAAGGAAGTGTCACTTTAATTGGTCCAACTGGAGATATGACTACTCTCACAGATTGTCTCTTTGTAACATCACTTAAGCAGAACTTGATTGCAGGAGGACATTTACCTCATGAGGGTTGGACTAAAATTTGTCAACCAAATGGTACATTTGTCATCAATTGGGATGGAAAAACCACATTAACCGGTTGTGTAGATCCCACATCAATGCTGCTCCATATCAATTCTGTGCGTACTATATCATCTGAAGTCAACCCACACTCTTCTGCAACATAAAACTTGACAACTGAGGTCCTTAATCTATTACACCATCAATTAGGTCACCCAAGTTTTGCATATTCAAAACAAATGATTGAAGGAGAAGCAGTGATTGGTTTACCTTTGTTGTTATCTAAAACTGTTTTACCTGATACTCTTCATTGTAATTCATGTGATTTGTATAAAGCACACCTTCAATCTCATTCTGAAACTTGTACAAGCTCAATTCAGCCACTAGACAATATTCACATTGATTTGAGTAGTATAATGCACACTCCAGCTATTTGTTGAAGTCTTTATTTCATTCTGTTTACAGATGATTTCACATTGTATTGTTTTGTAACTGGATTGAAATCAAAGGAAAAAGAAGAGGTTCACTTAGCCATTCAAACTTATTTAACTTTAGTTGAGCAACAATGTGACTGAAAGATTAAACATCTTGCCTTGGATGGAGAGGTGTGTGTTGTTACCGTATTTCCAGTGTGGAGGAATTTATTTGCAAGTCACAGCTGCATACACACCTCAAGAGAATGGTGTATCCAAAAGATCCATGCGGACAATTATTTCAAAAGCTAGATCAATGTTGATACACTCTAATGTCCCTTTAAGAAACTCTGTTTTCATGTGTACTTGAACAACAACTGTCTCCCTACCTAGAAACAAAACCCCGTTTGAGATGTGGTACCATAGAAAGCCAGATATATTGCATATTCAAGTGTTTGGTTGCTTATCTTACATTCACTGTGCCCGTGGAGGACGCCCTTTACATCAGGGGCCCTCAAGGGTACAAAGGAAAGCCTTTGTACTTGTTGGAGCCCCTGACGTCTAGGGCGCTATCCACGGGCACTGTGATTTTGATTTGAAAGCCTGATAGGAGTAATAAATACTCTGCAACCTCAGAACATGGCATATTGACTGGCCATACCAAACACAACAACAACTATAGAATATTCCAACTTACTGATCCAAAAATCGTTATAACTCAGTATGCAACCTTCAGAGAAGATCAATTTCCCTTCACTTGATTACCCATTTTTGACATATTGCACCTAACAACTGATGCAGAAGAAGTCACGGAACTAGAACTTACCACTGAACCACTCCAAAACCCGCCTAACAATGATGACGACCATGTCAAGAACGTAGTCATTGTTGTTGAACATCAAATTCCCAAACTGCCTGTTCCACCAGTAGAAGAATTACCACTGGTGTTCCCACAACAATAAACCCGAGAAGTTTGCCCTATTGATTGTTTTGTCCCAAACTCAAATTATGCTTTTTGGAAAGGTAACTCTTTCATTGAAAAGGGTGATATATGCGCCTACATGTTCACTACTGAATTGACTGTTTGACTTGTCACATAACCAGGTACTTATGAACAGGCTATGAAAAGCTCTGATGTAGCAGAGTGGATCAAATCATGTGATAAAGAGATGGGCAACATGGACCATAAGAAAGTCTGGAAAATCATTAACCAACCACTGGATGCACTGGTAGTGGGTTGCCAATGGCACTTCAAAGTCAAGCACTGTCCCAACAGGTCTATTATTAAATACAAAGCACAGTTGGTATCTATTAAAGCACAAACCTTTGTTAACATCCTACCGTCATTGCATTGTGTGAAATTGTGTGAAGATAAGAGTGTGGTGCTACTTCTAAATGGCTATACTGTTCTAATGACTGACAGGTAGACTGATTGCAGTGGTATTTTTTGCAGCATTGAGAGAATGAGAGATGATAGCAATGCCAAGACAGCTAATCTACCCGTAGCTGATAACATAATATAGTGTAGCTGAGAACATGCCGCTAAGCTACAGCTAACCTGAATCAGAATGAATGAATTCCAGCTACCCTACACAGAGTCCCAGAAAATCTCCAGCTGACCAAATTTTGGCCCTGTAGCATAGTGTAGAGGCACAGAAATCAGATACAGTGGCTTGTAGTGTAGTGTAACTTGAAAAGCTACACTATCATAAAGGTCAAATTCTTGTTAACTGCATACAGCTATGCTACACACAAAACATATGGTAGCGTATTGTAGTGTAGCTGTCTCAGCATTGATGATCTCTACAAGCTGACAACATTGACGGAATTATTGTATAGCAGTTAGATTACTGAATATCTTTCATGTTAAAACAGAACCATATGAGTATCAATCAATGAGACAAAATGATGCTTGATGTACTCTTATATTGAAAGTGTTAGGGGTCAAGCATAAGCTTAGGGGGTTAGGCTTAGGGCAAGGATATTTTCACCCCTCTCCAAGGGTATGT